TAAAGCTTTCAAATCTATGGACCTCCCAATCCGATTAACCGGCGATTATTCTAAACATTAAAAGGATAACTGAGAAAGAGCAGGAGATATTATTGAAATGTGGCAAACAGGATGAAATGGCATTGACCCACGCGTCCTCGGTTGGATACGTGTTCAAGTCAAAGTTGATGCCAGACACATTTATTATTATGTTGAACGGCCTAATGGTCCACACAATAAGTTTGATGAGAACGCTTTAGAAAGGCAGGGGATAGACATACAGACAAACAGACATTCGTATGGCACTGCTCTAAGTCCCGGATAATAACGAGTATTAAAGATATGGGGTTCGCAATATATACAAACATTATGAAAACATGCACATGCATATTCATTTTATAGATTCCTAATAACCACTTTTATACTGAACAATAATAACAGCATTGTGACCGGGCTTAGAAACAATGTATTAAATCACGTGTGCTACCGCTACATATTGGGGCTTTAGTGACGAGTTTCCGGGGTTTGGGGATGTTATTGTACAAGCCTTCAACATGATAATGATTTGTAATAAAACGATACAAGAACGTAAACAATCCAACACATAACAAAACACAAATATAATAATTAGTACTGGAAACAAAATACGGCCGATAAAAAGATGGCAGCGAAAAATGCTTCTGTACGTACGCTTTGTAGTTGTAGATATGCGCGTTAACTACCAGCGCGTTCCGGGCGTGTACCAAGTACTGAGGCAGCTATTTTGAGACATTTTTGCCGTTCTAATCTACTGGGGCAATGGGTACTTAAGATCAGTGAGGACAATATTAGTTGGGTGGTTTCACCACTTTTATACCAATCGGAGTCCTCAACACCTCACAGCAATCACTGACTTTAATAGAGGCGCAGTGTACTTGTAACCGTTAGAGCTATGATTTATAACACAGACATATTTCATTGCCCCTATGTCTATAACAGTGGTAGTAGAAAGACGAGTCGCCTGTCATGTTTCCATTAGCACTGCAATAATATTCGATCCATCAGCAAACATTTAATAGTACGGAATAAAGGTATTACTCAGCCGTTTTCGTTTTTTTTATTTTATTTTTCAGCGAAAACAGAAAAACCTTGCCAATCAAAAAGTTATACTCCTAAGCCGTTTACGCTAATGTGTGCCGGCTAATCGCTTTATTGGATACATGCAATCTGGCAAATTAACCAACTACGGCCTTCTGTGTGACGGCTTGCAACGACAATGACGCGCCAACTCCCAGATAACTGCCTCATTGTACTCGGTAACCACTCAGCCGCTGCCCACCCGAGTATTAAAACCTCGCCGTCGGTGTAAATCTCTCGTCCTCTTTACCGTCTCGTTGGTGTATAATTTAAGGCTTTCCCAGGCCTACCAACGATGGGAAACGCAGTTTCTCAATGATTCACTTTATTTTTTCTTCAAGATATCTATAGAAATTGAACCGGACAAGAAGGTTACTCAAAGTTGTTACAATGACGTCACGTTACTTAGCAACGGGTCGCATCGCAGCCGCGGGGTGGCCCCGGACAAGATATGTTCGTAAACACTTTGCTAAGCTGCGTAATTTCACAATTCGCGACTCGTTTCGGTGGCGTCTTTATACTTCGAGATGAGTTTCAAGGGCGGTGATTTCTAGAGCATTTAGCGGGAATATTCCACCGTCAGGGAATCTTCAATTAATGAATGCTCTCAATTTGAGCAAGAGAAGGGAGAAAGACACCTATATAAAAGTAAACTGATGTAATTCAACACAAAATTATATAATTATATGAAAGCAACCATTATTTGATATTTTTTGAAATTATCTATAGCGTGATCTAATCATTTTAAAATCAATTGTCAGGTTCATCTCAATCCAAAAACATCACCAATACATATGAGGGAGGGTGGTCAGGCATGGACATTTGAACCTGCTCGCAGCCTGATCACAAAAAGTATAACTTCTCAAATAATTTTAAGTCTCATTCCGCTGCAGTAATAAAAACTAACCCACGCTGAATTTATGGATTATTTTTTGCATCGCTCATTGCAAGAACAGACATATCAACGATTAGAATAAAGTGGTTCTCCATTAGATTCTTGGTCTGTTTTATTTATTTCACTATCCGACGATAACTTTTTCATTACCCGTTTTTTTTTGAATTTATGATTAACGAGGCGACTAAGTTAGTGGAATACCAAGGCGTGCTGGCAAGGAGTCCATATACCATTCTGTTAACTATCATTACGTCCATAGTAGCTTAATGTCGGCGCCTGAAATCTCCGTGGCTGGCTCTCTAAATGCTCGGTGCCTGTGCAACGCTTCGCGATTCGCCGCGTCACTCGTTAAATCAACACCCTATATCTCTTTGTTTTCAGTGTGGCCGTTCGTTAAAACAACTTTCACAAACTTGGCGGTTTTGCTGAAAGCTATCCGCGGTGTAAGGTGGCCTATACATCCGACTATACCGGATATACTGTGGTGTACAGGGTGGATAATGTCATCGGCTAGATGGCGCATCGCTGCCCCTCTGTCTTTTAGCACCGTGAATTCATTGCGTTCTTTTATCGCCCGCTTTCAAAAAAGGCACTGACATTGATGCTCAAACGACTAAACCCCCGGTTCGAATACATCAATTACTAGTATACTTTTCATTTTACTTGTTTTAACAGACACTACTAAAATCTAAAGCAGCCTGAAGCGACCAATCGGAGATGCGATACTGAGAATTAAAACGAAATGGTTGAAGTTCAATAACACCAAAATAGTGTACTAAAAACCCTCTTTAGCACGGCTGTCAGAATCATTTTTCAGGTTCACGAAGAGCTTATTACTTGGCAGTGAGGGTGTGTCAATCAAGTTCGGGATTACTCTGTTAAATTGACAGTTTTACCTACTGCAGAGACACAAATCGTGGGGGGCTAAGTCGAAAGATAAGTTAATACCCGGATGTTGCCAATGGCATGATCTCATGAGAGGGCGGAGGATCGGGACGACTTAAAGGCCGGTCACTGAGACGTTATATACGAGTCGCGCGTCAAAGGTTACACAAACTCAGAGTATTAAGGGATGCTTAAACAACCATTAAATCGGATAGTGAATCAAGACTGCGCTACCATGTTTATGAGTGTTGTAGTTATAGAGTGTTACTATATTCGTAGCTAGTCTCCACCACCATGTATACAGACAGCGTGGTCCCATATTGATTTTTATAACGTAAACATCTTGCGGGGACTTCTTGTCAACAGCTTGGCGGTTGTAACGTGACGAGCCGTGAAATCAGCCGAACTTTTCTCAAATACATATTATAGAATGTACTGCTATGAACATTTAGTGATTGAAGATTGGAACGCTGTACGGAAACACTTATACATACTTATCATATACAATTTTTTTACCAATAAATGTACAGCGTACATGTATTTATAATACCTATATATCTGCTATAGACATTATATGATCGCTATGTGGGCTTGTTTTAACTGTAGGCTGTAGAATCTTCCAAAGTAACTTATTATACTATAGAAAACACAACTAAATCAGGAAGAAATCTGTTCGAGTAAAGTCACTGAGGTATTAAATTATTTATAAGAATCGAAAATATCCATTGAATTTCCATTGATACATGTATTACCTCGACGAAAACATCTGTGAAT